ATGTGTACATAAACATAGAACTGTGTATGTATGTATAAAAAATAACTGTGAATTTTCATAGCTTCTGTAGTTTCGCTACTGCTATTTAGCTGTTCTTGGGGTGCTTATACAGAGAAAGCAATATATAAGCTTGAATTACGTATCTAATATGCATATAAAATCCTCTTCAGTCTCTTAATTTTTTTGGATTGTTTATTGAATGTCTTTCATTCTAGGTTTGATTCTAAGAATATAGTTGATGTAAGATCTGAATTTACAAAATTAATCTTCATCTGAAACACCTAATAGTTTTTAAATGTGGGCTGTGTAGAGTCTGTGCTTCTACTTCTGTGCTAGAATTTGAAGGAGTTGAGTTTTTCATGATGTTATCAGTATCTGATAAATTGCCTAGCTGTGGGGGTGGTGTACAGTCAGGCTCATTTTTTTTCAGTGCATGCTACAGTAGTATAATTGCACATACTTTTATGTATATATTATTTCCTTCTCGTGTCCTTCGAAGATGTTTGATATTTATGGAAATGTTAGTCTTACAACTGAGATTTGGGCTATTTAGCTCTTTTTTTTTTTTTTTCTTGAGACATTTATGTGCTCCAGAAGTGTGTCAGACGAATTGTTAGAATGAAGAATAGGTTCTGGTATTTGTATGTAATTTGCCCTTTAGTTAAAATTATGTTCTCTCTACAATTAAATCTTTGTATCATTTAATTTTCTGGTGTTGCAGTTTAAAAGCACTTCCATTTTATGGAAAAATGTTTCATCGCAGTATAAAAGAGTGTATGGTAATATCTGGAAAATAAGAGCTCATAGGAAACAGAAGAATGTGAAGGATATGCTATTGTTTGTAGGTGAATGGTTAATACTGTCTTCAGCATTTCTTATGCTTCAGATAAATGATTTCTTTGCTTGAATTTCCCTTTAAATGCCAAGACTAAAGTTTGATACCAGTTTAAACAATTTTTGGAATTAGTACCTACAAATATTGGACTGAATAGATGTTTTTCTGTTAAAATCATGGCTTTATTTTTAATAAATGCCCTGTTAGCTCTGATTAATGTGAAATTCTCTGTTGGAACTCTTCTGTGCCTCTTCAGTATAAATGTAAGAATTCAGTAATTATCGCATCTGAAGTAGCATGTCCTTTGAGGGTACTGAAGCTCAGAGGCCAGCAGTGATAAACAGCTTGTGCATACTTTCTGACCATTTTAGTTAAAACTGTTTAAGTAGTACAACAGAGCGATGAACATAGGGATTCATTTTACTATGGGGAACTTACTGACAAAACATTGAAATCCTTTTTCAATTTGGTAATATCAGAGTTTAATAGTATCCCTAATATGGATTAGAAAAATGATAACATTCTCTTTATTTATTGTTCTGATTCATTTATTTAAGCTCATAATTCCCTAATGATCAGAGAAGGAAGCTAAAGAAACTAGCCTTGTTTACCCTTGCAGTAGTAAGGAAAGAGGGGAATATAACTCTTCTCAGTAAATAAATTTGGTCTACAGAGTAACCATCAGAGGTTTAGGAAGATTTGGGAAAACGTCATCTACTGATTTAACTATCAAATATATTTGAAGGAACTAAAACAGTTTGCTTACTAATGAGATATTTGGAACAGTGCTCTACTAAAAGTAGTAAGTTTAAAAATAAGCTATGTTTGAGTTGGAACATCACATATTTATGAGGTTTTACACTCTGTTTGCAAGTAATAGAGGAGTAGATTCATTGGGGAAAAAAACAAACAACAACAACAAAAAACAAAAACAAAAAAAAAAAACAACAACAAAAAAACCCTTTGTTTAGATGTTAACAAAATGGAAATCTACAAGCCTTTTCTCCTCCTGTACCTAATGTTTTATTGCATGTGTTTCCATTACTGACAATTCACCTTTTGAACCAGAATTTAAAATAAAGTTATCTTTCACACTCCACTGTTTAGGGTATTTTCTAGCACCCTGCTTGAAAAATGACATATATCATAATTTGGTTCAGATATAAGCCATTGAAATCTTCAAAACATGTTTATTTTAGCTTCGAAGGTACCTTGAAGATTTAAAAGCAAGTAAAGAAGAAAAAAAAAAGTAATCCTTCTGCGTAGCCTTCAATGGTAATATTTCAGGCTCAACGTCAGTTCACCAGTGCCAATGAGCTAAGTCTGTACCTCATCCTTGTGATAGTTTCCTTCCTCATATTTAATGCTTCAAGCATTGAGTACAATTGCATTTGACAAGAGATTACATAGTAATTTAATATTATTTACATTTTATCCTTTATTTCAGGTTTTATTAACTTTTAAATAGATTTATTAGGGTGTGTTTCTTGTGATTATTCTTATATTAAGAAATTCTTCAAATTAACATTGTAGGATTAGACTTACAGATTTGTCCAGCATGTGTATGACATTTCTGGAAAGTAGTGGTTTATTCTTCTAGTGTAGTCACTGTCCAATTCCAACTCATAAGTGTGTGAGACCTCTTATCTATACAATAAGTTACTGCTAGACACTGGGTGCCTTATGTATACCATGAACAGAAGTGGGAGGGACAACTTCTGCAGGAGGATAGTAGGCTAGAAAATGACTCCAGGCAGTGTGTACAATCTACTGTTCTGTGAATGAAATAATAATTTTAGACTTTGGCTAGAAGAGGTAGTTTAAATTAATCTTACTCAAAATGGTTAATGTTGGCAGTTGCAAAGAGTATTTCAAAATGAACTTTTTAAAGATCAACTTAAGACCTAGTCGTCAACATCTATCATGCTTGTTTTAGCTTGCACAGTGCCTTTCATTATGGCTGGTCTCTCAATTGTAATTGTCTCTGCAGAGTTAGGCTTTCAGTGGGCAATTTATTTGATCAGAGCAGTCATCTTAATACCCTCTTTTGTTTGAATGTTCTAGAATTCTGTGCTTTATGTGCATAAATATCTTTATTTCATGGACTGCAAAAATATCTGGGTGTGTGGCTCCAATTGGTCACGTATTATAGCTTCTAACTTGTCTTGTCAGTTTGTGTATGCTTCCTATTCCTGATTTCTCTCAGTATTTCTACATATTTTGTATAGTATCTCTTGCAGTACTAAAAATACAGAAGGATTGTGTTCAAGTGTAATGGAAGTTAGATGTGGGGCAGAGAGATTTGTGAAATACACTGCTTTTAATTGGATCTTGTTCAATCAGTTCTCTCAAACATTTATTGTAGTAGGGAAAGGTTTTATACAGAGAGGAGGAAGTTCCTCAGAATGACATTTGCTGCTGCTGTGAGTGGTCAGGTATAGTTGGGTACACTACAGAACTTGCTGATAGCTTTTCTTGTGAATTAACATCTTGCGTGCTTTAACTAGGATTGGAGAATTAAGTAAATACAGAAATGCACTCACAGGAGTTGAGGTAGAGAAGTGTTTAAAATACATTTGTTAGTTTAGAAATTGCTTCTGAGGCAGCTGAATCAGTAGTAGGTTCTCAAGTTCTATTACTTATTTCTAGAATAAATTCGTTCACAAGCCTTCCAGGTGCATATTAATTACAAAAAAGTCATTTAAATAAGAACATGAACTGTTAATTTTTTTAAAGAGGTAAAACATTTTCAAGTATATTTCATTTGTTGAGGCAAATTCTTAGTGCGATGTTTTATAGTATTCACTTCTTACTTGAACAAGATTATTCTTTTCTGTGCATTTGCATCTCATACTGTTAGACTGGTTGGCCTATTTCCATGATTATTGTTGAGAGGAAGATTGTACACAAATTCCATCCAGTTTAAGGAATAAAGTTTCTATTTAGATATTTTTCTTCTGTTTTTTGTTTTATATTGTATGAACTGTTGCTTACCTATCTTAGTTTTGAACATTCGAATTTATAGTAAAAGATAAATGCTACCTCAATAGATACGCATGCATGGCAGGTTCTGTTTGGCTAGTAGGTATTCATCTGGTTGGTATATCTATCCACTCTATATATTTAATTAGTCTCTGCTGTGTTTTTAAAGCTGTGAAGAGCAGTAGTTGGGACTTGGTTGTTTCATTACAATTACTTTGGCAAAATATTTATACACAGCTCTTAAACTGTTAGGGTGGTTTTTTCCTCATTAAGAAGAGTATAACAGTCTAATTCTGTGAAGGCTCGGATTTCTTCTGAAACTTGCTGACCTTACTTTAAACTGTGCATTGGTTTCCTTAAAATATTGTGTATGAAAATAAAAGATATTTCTGGTTGACATATCCTCAGTTCTCTTTTTGCACCTTACTAGCATTTATGTTAATTATCTCGTATTCTATAACATAATATCCCCCAAAGCCTCCCATCTTCCAGGAAGGCTCATTGTTCTGTATATTCATCCACCCAACATTTAGGTTTTTAAGTTGCTTTGGTTTGTTGATAGCTCCCCCTCCTGCCCTCAGAGGCTTCTGTTTCTTTACAGTGCTGACATATGCTTGAGAAGTATACTTTAGATGTGTGATTTTTAAACAATCAGAACATATTGACCTGAAAAAATTCAGGTTTATCCTAAACATAAAGTTTGAGCTGGAGTATCAAAGGATACTGAGAGCTTTATCTTGTTAGTGTTAGAGAAACTGCTCTGGGAAGATCAGTGGAATCGACTGAAAATTGTCTTAAATATGTAGCAGTTTCTCAGGATATTGTGATTTTTTTTTTTTTTTTCACCACCAAATGCATGTGATCTCAAAAAGTAAGTGCTTTGTGAAATAGCTCTGTCTTGATGCTGCAGATTTTTTTTTTTACCCTGATTACTGATAGTGACAAATCAGTCTCCATTTAATGTCTTCAATACTGATGGTAAGAAATATATTACTTGAATAAGCTTATCAAACTTCCAGATGTTTTAAATTTTACAGTTTGAATTGACTGTATTTAGTCACTTTTTTTTTTTTAAGTGAAGATCGCTTGCATTAAAAGGAAAGCAAAAAACTACTGTCACCAAACTCATGCTAAAACAATGTTTCTTGGACTTTGGTCTGTCTCAAAAAAGATTTTTTTTTGGTTTTTTTTCCTCCCTTCCACAAGTGCAAATTGTTGTTCTTGAGACCTGGAAGGCTTGTCAGCCTTTCCAAAGGATTTCCTTTTTTTGCAAGGTAATAGTGGATGCACAAATTGAACAGGAGAGAAACCTGGAAATCTGGCTTTGTAGCATCTATAGGGCTGGAGATGCGAGCTACTGCTAATGGACTAATTAGTGTATGGACCTGAAGCACCTTGTAAAGCTTTTTGGTAACTTTTTAATCAACTTTTTTCCTGCTGGAAGTGGGGAGTAGTTCCTCTTCTGTTGCAATGAAAATGAGCTGCGTTGGTCTCCTTCGACAAACAGAATGTAATGTCTGTTTATCTCCTTCCTTTTAAAAGCTCCTAGATAAAAAACAGAAGCTAGTTAGAGATGAATTTTGAATTGTTAATATGCTGCTACTTAGCGGAAAATCTTTGGGATAATAGTTTCAATATTATTTGATAGGTAAATGTAAAGGAACTGTTGTAACTGTAATGCTAGCCTTACCTGCTGCTGTGTGCTGCTTCATGATGACTGAAGTACGTGATTCTATGGTGTAGATGTGATGAGACTTGTATCTCTAAACCCCCCTGACTTGGGCTTTCTAAGACATTATAGGCCCTTTTCAGTTTTGCCTTTGTCTGTGTGATACCTTCTGACAGATAGAGCTGAGTTGAAGTTTGGTGTTATCATACTGTTAGCAGAAGCCATTTTGAGGAAGAACCTAAAGTGCTAAAGGAGATACTCAGAGGTTAGGGTTAGGGTTTGTAATTGGAAATATGTTGTGCGTTTCTGACCTGTTGAGGTGCTTCTGCGTCTCAACTTGGATTTTGCAAACTGATGTAGACTCTGGGAGTTATATGTGCACATTGTGCACTTCTGTAACAGCCTTTCCAGAGGGAATGGAATTGTTCAATTTCTGATTTGAAATATGGTCAGCAGTAAGAAAGATGGGTTTTTTTTTGAGTACTATTTGGACAAGAGCAAATAGACATCAAAAGGTACAAGACATTTTTCTTTTGCTTATGGTTAAAGTATATCACTTGATATCTTGTAGTAGAATTATACAAAGGCTACTAACTATATAACCCAACTGTTTTTTTATTTTGAGAGGGGGCTTGCTTTTATAGATATTTTGATTAAATAATTTAAAGTTACTTTGTCAAAATAATATTTTCATGGCATGAAATTCTGGACACATGAAAAGTATGTTTATGTTTAGGAAGGTTAAATAACTTACCACTCTTTTCTGATACGTTATGAAATTTCTAAGTTTTTCAGCAAAATAATACTCTAAGTCTATCATAGCTTGGTTGTTCTACTGTTTGGTGTGGTGCTTTACCATTTATTTTTTTTTTTTTGAATTGTCAGAGTGGTTTGTTGTTTTTTTTTTCAAGAAAAATATGGTAATTACTATTTAAATAATACAACTTTAAGATTTTCTGATTTGGAAGCACGTAATCTGTTTCCACTCACCTCTCAAGGTGACAAATTTATATTTGAAACTTAGAATTATAAAACAAAGTACTTTAACATAAAATCTGCTCTGTGAAATTGATGTAAAACTTTACATCTAAAATTCTAGTAAATGATACGATGAAATGAAGTGGTTGCTGAGAATCTTTCCTCAGCATTTAGTTAAGTATAACCTCAAAAGTGTTTCTGCTTGGTCAGCTCTTTCTTTCTGGGAGGAAAAAAACCCACTATATTTAAAAGGAAACAAAACAAAACAAAAACAAAGAGTGGTGGGGAATGGTGTCTCCTAAGTATAAGAATTTCCATTTCTGCAAAGTATTTGTAATAACAGTATCACCATCTGCAATGGTGCTCCAATTTAAGCATATCTTTCTCACTTCTAATTACTGAAAATAGGAAGCAGTGTACAGCAAAATTGCCAACTTAAGTGCCTTGGGTAATGTCACATGTAGTCACATCTAATTAAAAGGTGTTATTATGGAAATGAGTTGTTGGACTGTATATCCTAAGGATTCTTTGTTACTGGAATATGATTTTAATGATGTAGACTGTGAGGCTTGGAGGGCACTGCTGGAACCTACAATTAGGTTTTGGAGACCAGCTTACCCAGAGCACAACTTGTTAATTCTCTGGATAAATGTGTCACATTCCCAAGTAGAGCATGGAATTGAACAATTTTTATTCATCTCCTGGCATTATTGAAACTGATGTCTTCTCGTTGCTCTGAAAACCTCATCTTAGTGAATAGGATGAAACAGATTATTCACTATCTTTCTTAAGCATGCCTACTATTAGATTGTTCACGGGATCTGGTTTCCTGAATGACTTTCTGTTAACAATCTTTCAATTACTGTTTAAAGGGTTTTATGACTACTTAAAGGCGGAAACTACCAAACTGTACTGTGGGCCTTTAAATCATTGCAAATGGGCCTCTAATGATAACAGAAATTTCTATTTTAAAAGCATGAAATTGTTAATTTGTCTATCTTTACAGCTTTCTCACTTATGTTGATAATTCTAAGCAATTTAAAATCCAATTATTTCCAAAATATGACAGTAATTAGATTAGTGTTTTTACATGAACAGAACATGTAGCATAAAATATGTTTTGAGGGATATTATTTTATACTCTCTTGGAATGAAAGGGAAACTACCCTATTAAGATTATTATTTTTAAACTTGTAGCATGAAGAGAAGGGTTAATGTTTTAGATGATCTTAAATGTGCAAAAGCACATTTAAAAGCAAATGTGACTAGTGTGACTAGTGCATGGTTTGTATTGGTATGTATGGAAAGCACTGAGAAAAAAGAAGCAAAACATAGAACAAACAGTACAAACAGAAGAACTTACATTAGGTGATGATAGACTAGTTTTAATTAAATATACGAAAAGAACAAATTTAATTAAATATGCTAAAAGATTTAAAGGTAATGTATATCAACAGTTACCCAACTTAGAAACAGTAAAACTGAGATCAGGAGCTGAAAATAAAAAAAATGTTTTTCACCTTGACTGTGTTTGACGTGTCATGGCTTTTGTCTCTGATAACTGATAAGGTCTGTGCTTTGTTGTTGTGTGTTCTTGTACTCATAGCTGCTGATCCAGCCGGCGTTGTTGTCAGCTCGATGAGGAATGTCAGTGGACTGGAGTGAAAGGGACATTAAGTGGCTGACACTGAGGGATGGCAGTAAATGAGATGAGAGCTAAATATATAGGATTGTGACATTCTAGCAGCTGGCTAAAGTCCTGTTTCCTGCTTGGGTATACTAGCCTTAAAAAGGAAGAGAATGCATTGTAGCAGTAGGAAGAAAACAGCTGGTGGCTTATCAGTCAACCCTAACGACAGGGAAGGTTAAAGAGTTTGGAAGGACAAACTGTGAAAGAGTACTTTCATTAGGTACATCAAATGTAAATTCTTAATTTTAAAGAAACTATTCTATGAAATTCGACTAAAGCTCTTCAGCATGCTGTGACTCACCAAGTACAGAAATAAATGAGTATTTCATTTCCATCCAAAGAAAGTAATTTAAAAAGTTGATCTACTTTTGTGTCAAAGTGTTTGTTAGGTCATGTCACGGTAATGTTCTTGTGATGCTTCCTTGCTCCTTAGTGGAATTCTTAGGTGCATGTTGATACTTGATATCTTTAATTTAAAATTAGAAAAAAACTCTTTGTAATAGATAAAAACAAATGTTCTCAGGTGGTGCAAACTTTGTATGTTCTAATTCTGCTCCTTTTATTAATGATATAGAAATGTATCATAATGTGATTTATTATGTACGTACAGAATGAAAGCTAATGTTTGGAAAAATCACTGCTCAGTTGCATAGAAGGCTCTCTTCTTTGATATGCAACTATATAATTCTATGAGGGCTGCTTCAAAAGTAATGCCTTCTGTTTTATAGTGTTTTGAAGCTGATAATTTTCTCTATCAAGCAGTGTTTTGTTCTTCCTATCTGTTGTAGGTTTCTATGGGAATAAATAGGAGGTATTACTTTTGGAGCAACTTACATACCTTTATTAAATTTTAATTTAATTAATTTTGTGTGCAGTAACAGTGATCAAACTGTTAAGCTAGAAACGTGATTAACAGTTCAGCTGGAAGATAAATCTTGCTTATTTTTTGGTGCTGCTTTTTGCTTCAGTTTCTGTGTTTTTTTTTCTTTTGCTCATGAATTCTTCAGTTTTTGAACCCAAACTAAATCATTTGTTCTGGTTTACAGCCATCAACTGCCTCAAAGAAATGAAGACCTAAGCCTAATCTTTGGCTTTTCAGCAGATCAGTTCTTGCTGAACAGGCCTACCTTGTCCCCTTTTATATCTGAGATAGGTGCATCTGCTGATTGGGTATCCTTGATGCAGCCCTCTGCTGGGGTGGTAGGGAGGGTAGCAGAGCTTTCTCTGAGAGAAACTGTGGTCTAAATAGAGTGAAACAGTGCTCACTTTCTCGGGAATTTTCTTTCCTTGCCATCATGTTCTTCAGCATATACAGATTCCTTGTTCAGCACTGTAACCTGTCACAATGGGGTGAGATCAGAAATCCCAAATCTTGTCTACTTAGGAGGAGCTTGTCCCCTTAAAGCTTGTTTTGGTGGCTTGTAGAAGAGAGGTGTAGCCACTTGAAAGCTTTTTTAGAAAATATGAATAATGACAGATGGGTCTCATTTGTCTTAACATTAACAGCTATTTTTCCCTATGATCAGGAGCGGCTTCTCCTAAGTGGTTTTTTACCAATTAAAGATGGTCTTGCATTAAATTAATGCAATCATTTGTGCTTATCTTTTCTACAGAGTGCTTAAATAGGTATGTGGAAGTTCAGATTGACTGTGTAGTTGTTGGTGCACAAGATAGGTTTTTCAGACCTTGTGTAAAAGAGATTAGACAGATTTGAGCTGCTTTGCTCAGGGAATTTGAGGTATTGTGTTTAGTCAGATTTTACTTTTTTGTATATCCGTAAACAGAGAGATTTATTGAAATGGAGCTAGGTTGTGATTTGAAAATCTTCTCCTGCATTGGTGTGTGATACCATTCTTCAAGTGCTGGTTATATTCCGAATTAGCACAGCAGCTCTTCTGGATCTCAGGCAATACTTGTGTTGATCTAACAACTTAACATTCAAAACTGTGTGACGTATATAAGACCACCAGCACAAACATGAGCAACATGTAGAAGATTTGATAAATAAACCTTTATCCCTTTTACTTATCTAATGCAAGTACAGGCTATTTATAATATTAGCTTTCTTTCCGTGTGATTATTTAATTCTGCACGGTAAATGTAGAAACAGTTTTATTGTTAGAGTTACTGGTCAGAAATTTAAGAGTTACTGTTAATTCTCTCAAACTTTCTAGTTCTGTTTATCAGAATTAAATTACTTCTATTTAAAGCAGCTTAAGCAGTGCAACTTGTGTGGTGTTGTGAAAGAAACTTCTTGAGTACTTGACAAGATAAGCATATTTTTCCATCTTCAGGAACTTTTACATTGCATTACAAAAGCAGGTGGAATCTTCTATACAGATGAGCTAAAAGTAGATTTTCTGTTTATATTGTGATTGGAAGTGTGGATGAAAATTACAGTATTATGATAGATAACCAAAATAAATAAAACTTGAAAATTTTGATTTTGTATTTTCACTCTAAGTTCTTATGGCAGTATTTTGATAATGGGTCTTGACATGTACTGAGCTCCAGCAGGTAACAAAGGAAACTATATATTGACAACACCAACCATCATAGAATCATTGAATGGCCTGGTTTGAAAATGATCATCTAGTTTCAACCCCCCTGCTGTGTGCAGGGTCACCAACCACTAGACCAGCTGCCAGAGCCACATCCAGCCTGGCCTTGAATGCCTCCAGGGATGGGGCATCCACAACCTCCTTGGGCAACCTGCTCCAGTCCTCCTAATATCTAACCTAAACCTCCCCTGTCTCAGTTTAAAACCATTCCCCCTTGTCCTATCACAATCCACCCTTGTGAACAGCCGTTCCCCTTCCTGTTTATAAGTTCCCTTCAAGTACTGGAAGGCTATAAGGAGGTCTCCCCGGAGCCTTCTCCAAGCTAAGCAAGTCCAGTTCCCTCAACCTTTCCTCACAGGAGAGGTGCTGCAGCCCTCTGATCATCTTAGTGGTCCTTCTCTGGATCTGCTCCAAGAGTTCCACGTCCTTCTTGCACTGGGGGCCCCAGGCCTGGGTGCAGTACTCCAGATAGGGACTCGCAAGAGCCGAGTAGAGGGGGACAATCACCTCCCTCTCCCTGCTGGCTGCCCCTTTTTTAAGGCAGACCAGAACACAGTTGGCCTTCCGGGCTGCAAGCACACACTGGCTCATGTCCAGCTTCTTGTCCACCAGGACCCCCAAGTCCTTCTCTACAGGGCTGCTCTCAAGGACAACTTCCCCCAGTTTGTATAAACACTTGGGATTGCCCCGACCCAAGTGCAGCACCCTGTACTTCGTCTTATTGAACCTCATTAGGTTTTCCTGGGCCCACTTCTCCAGCCTGTCCAGGTCCTCTGGATGGCTTCCCTTCCTTACAGTGTATTGACTGCACCGCTCAGCTTGGTGTCATCCGCAAGCTTGCTGAGGGTGCACTCGATGCCATCGTCTATGTCATTGATGAAGATGCTGAAGAGCACTGGTCCCAAAATTGACTCCTGAGGGACACTACTTGTGTCCTAGTTGTAATACATTCAGTTAACTGGGCTTTGCTACTACTGAGATTTTTCTGCCTTTTCTGTCCTGTGACTTTCTGTACTAAAAGTAAAGCAGTGTTTAAATATATTTCTGACTGTTAGAATAATATTTTTTAAAAAATCTGAATGAAACAACATCTAGTATGCATACTTGATAGCTTATTCAGAGGTTCTCTTATGAATATGAGTTAAGAATTTGAAGAAAAATAGTATTGCTTTTAAAATTAATCTATTCTCTGGGACTTTATTTTATTTTTCTTCCCTTAAAGAAGAAAGCTTTATTGCCATTATTAGACTGACCTGGAAAGTTAGCCTGATTTTATTTATTACTATTTTTAATGGATCTGATCCTTTATATTTACATGGGGGGGTTGTAAAGCTATTTGTCAGTTAAATAAGCTCTCAAAGCCTTCAGCACAGAGGTTATTAGAGGTGAATAGTCTGGATTTAAAGGATTTAGTAATTCATTCGAAATCCCAGCTATACTTTAAGAGGCATTTTTTTTTTTGCTTTTTTTTTTTTTTCCTTAAGCATTTAAAGCACTAGGATGTTTTCTGCTATATGAAAATAATATTCTGTTGAAATCATGAGGATGATCTGGTTTGTCTAGATTACAGCTGCAGTGATCAGAGAGATTTAGATTCATTCTTTGGAATGATCAGCAGTGGCTGTTAGTCTCATTGATCAGAAATGAATGTAAACTATCTGATATACCAACCTTGTCAATAACTGACAAGTCAATCCCTGCAATAAAATTAACCTTTAAAAAATGTGCCATCTTTAAAGGAATACTTGGATATTTTTACTTTAAGGTGGCTGTTTTTATGCTGTTATGCTGTCTTGAGGTCTTAATTTTTGCGGTACTTTGTAAAAGACTTTGTTTTTATTATTGCAATCAACATACTTATTAAAACTTGTCACCCAATTAAAACAATCTCAATTTTCTACATGAAATTACATTACTTATTTTTACCTGGCTTCCAGAATATAAGTTGAATCAATCCTTAACTGGTTAAATAGTACTGTGTTGCAGGAATATGCACACTAGCAAAGAGAATTTCATAATGGCCCTGGTATACCTTTTGAAAAATTTGATACTTTAAGCATGTTTTTTTAACTACTTTTTAAGTTATTTAAAAAAATCTAAATATAAAAAAAAACCCTGATTTTTAGTACTTAAAAATTCCATAAAGGTTTGTCTTATTCTGCCATCTTCAATTTTTTCAGGGAGCTTTGCTAATGAGAAGTGCAGTTATAAGTGCACATTGCTCAAGATGAATCACAATGTTTGTTATACTAATCCATCCTTGAGAGCGTGTGTTGCTCATGTCCAAGAGGGAATGCTCTGGATGCTAATAAGTAACAGACTTTAAAATACTGAATATTACCTTTGTTCTCCATTTTCAAAAGCACTGTATTTTAGTAATATATTACAATTATGTTCATATCCTTTACTTTTGCATTAAAAATATGTTGCTTAAACATGCTTTCAATCTTGACTAAGCTTGTCTTACTCCTACAATAGTTATCAGGTCTTGCCTGTAAGAAGATGAGCACTCGCTTAGCTTTGATGATAGTATTAGAATGGTGTGGGTCAGATACACCCAGCAGATGTAAATGGATATATCTGGCATAAGCAGATTATACGTGTCATTCTCTACATATGTACTTTGGCATTTACTTAGTTATTTTGCTTAGAAAACTTACTTGATAAAGGGATGAAGGGAATGTTTCTTGGGCGTTGTTGTCTGCAGCCTGTCTTCTGTTACCAGTAGGTGTTTCTGGAAGAGATTTCAGGAAACAAGTTCACTTTTCATCAACAGCTTAGAAACTACATTAAGGTTAGTTTGTATACTAAAATATACGTTATTAGTACTATGTTCATTGTGTTGACAGTGTTAATACCATCCACTTTGTCAGCCTCCTCTTCCTGTAAAATATCATCAGAGATCGGATCTCCTAAATACTATCGCCAAATTCCACTGGAGCATATTTAAATACATCCTCAAAATACATGCTAATGCAAGATTTTGCAATCTCGGAAATATTTCTGAAACAAACTTTTTCTATTTGGTTTCTTGAATATGAACTAGTGGCACATCTGTGTATGGAAACTTTCCGTTCTTTGTTTTTAGTGAATCTAGTGTTCATCACTGCAAACGTGATGCAGTTGTTTTTATTTAGTAGTAATTCTTGTTACTGTTTTCTTTTGAACACTGTTTTCTTTAGCAGTGATTGTGTTGTTAAATCACCACAAATAGTTAGGAAGACATGAAATGTCTGAGTCTTTCTGTGCACAGGAAAGACACTTTCTTAACCAACGACTGTCAAAAATGTAGCTGTATAAACTGTGTGGGATGAGGTTGGATCCATAACTTGGAGTATTTTGATATAATATTTTTTCTAAAAGAAAAAAAAGGGGAGGCAGGAATGTAAATATGAACTAAAACACTTTGTCTGAATTCTTTTGTGGTGATTTTGAATATAGAATTTCTTAGCTATAATGTTAGTACTCCTTAAAATCTCTGTACAGGTGTGTGTGAATATCTAAATTTATACCACTACAGCTTCTATATTGTCACTAAAAACTTGTGATAAAGTTGTCGTTTTGAGAATGGGTATTTGCTTATGGTAAGTTAATTGAATAAACGTTGGAAAATACTGTAATGAGAAAGCACATTGTGAAGTAGAATAAATTGCACATTTATGTTTTCCTATACTGTCCTATATAGCATTTAATATTTTCTACAAAGATCTCTGAGCAACAGGTTATGCCATGTGTCCTGTTTTCTTAATTAAACATACTACAGAGCTGAAAGTGTAAAATCTTACCTTCTTAAGATTTATTATGCTGTTGTTTCCCAGTACTTCAAGTATTTTACATAGTTACAGTTTACCTAGTTAAATTGCTGTTAAGATTTAAAAAAAACAAAAAAACTACTTTTCTAAGATTATCTAAAAATGTAATGGAAGCAATATAAGCTATCTTCAAAATATGCAAAAATAACTGTCACAGTGCTGTCATGACTTAGAGCATTTTCCATTTCTTAAAAGTTTTTTGTCAGTACGGTGCTATTTTTTAAATTGGAAATACAGTGGAAGATAGCTATACATATGAATCTGTTTAAATTAAATGCATAGACTATTTTTCTTCAGAAAAACCATACATACAAATAAGTACTCAAGAATAATTAAATTGTAACTTTATGTATTCTTAGTTAATGCCAACATAGAACATCTTCTGTTGTGAGGTACTACTGATATTTTACTTAAAAGGATATTTAGGCTGAGTGCAAAATGTTCATACTCAGCATATTTGTGGCACAAATAAACTTGCTAAGGCATTTTTCATTTTGCTTAAAATTGGAATAGACTTTAAGATCTCTGTAAATGCCATGTATAGTAAATCATGGAACACTTGCAATAATAAAATGGTAGAATAATTTAGTTTTTAATTGATCAAATTAATTCTCTAACCAAATGCATGCTTATATGATATCTCTCTTGTGAGATTTGGTTATTTTAATCCAAATTTTTTTCAGATTATTTTCTGAAAATAAAGACAAGATTTTTTTATCAGATAAACTAGATCTTCATATCTTACTTTCAGGTGTGAAGGGAAAACACAAAATACAAAAAGCACAGGTGAAATATAATACTAATGAATCCCTCCAAATTTTTCAGGTTTTAACTTGTATGGAAAGTTTCTAAAGTATTGCATTCTTGTACATTGTTAAAATAAGTCATGTGTCTGTGAAACCTTTTGTTAATCTGCAGCTTCGAATTCTAGCATACTTTGTTCTCGTTTTCCTTTTGTTCTGGATGTAGAATCTGATGAGGCATGGAAGCAATGTAAAAGCTATTGGTTTTCCTGGTAATAGAGGGTTGTCAGAGGGTTTCTGATTCAGTCAACTTGTTAGATAGGACTGAAATTTTGTCAGCTTCTGTGAGTGTCTGTTGCTGCACAGCGATCATTAAGATCCTGGACTAGGTACAAACATTAGGATTTAGAGCAGCTTTCTTTTCCTAATGTGTTTGATTCTGCATGAATATGTAAGCGATGCATAGGATATTTTCATGCTTATACATGTCACAGACTTGGAAT